AAAGGGATTGTGAGTTCATCGTGGAAAGCTCCATGAAGGAGAAAGCTCCGTGGCTCAGCATGTGGCCGCAATGGGGGGAAGGGCAAAATTCACGCTGGGGAGTCTGAGGAAACGGACTGTGAATAAGGTGGCCAATGTGGGACGTCCTTGTATAGAGCTATGACGCAGCCTCATTTGGAATACCGTGTGCAGTTCTGGTCACCGTATCTCAAAAAGGGTATGGACAGCTCAAAGACAAGAAGAAGAGGAGGAGATTGGATATATACCCCGCCCTTCCCTACGCAGAGGAGTCTCAGAGTGGCTTACAAACTCCTTTCCCTTCCCCTCCCCACAACAGACACCCTGTGAGGTAGGTGGGGCTGAGAGAGCTCTTGACAGAAACCGCTCTCTTTCAAGAACAGCTCTTATCAGAACTAGGGCTTGTCCAAGGTCATCCAGCAGGTGCAAGTGGAGGAGTGGGGAATCAAACCCGGCGCTCCCAGATTAGAGTCCGCGCACTTAACCACGACACCAAGCTGGTGTACACCAGGGCAACCAAAATGATCAAAGGGGATGGAGCACCTTTCCTATGTGGGGAGGCTGAAGACTTCTCTGTTTAGAGAAAAGATGACGAAGGGCGGACATGACAGAGGTTTATAGGATTATGCCTGGGGTGAAGAAAGTAGATGGAGCGTTTCCTGTTTCTCCTGTAGTGTTGCAAATCAGGGTCAGGCGGTGAAGCTGAGGGGAAATAGATTCAGGACAGTCAAAAAGAAATACTTCTTTACTCAACAAGTAATTAAATCGAGGAATTTATTGCCCGTGGGCAGGGCTTTTTTGGTAGAAGAAGCCCAGCAGGAACTCATTAGCATAATAGGCCACACCCAACAGCAGAAACCTGTTAGCATATTAGGCCACACCCCTGACAGCACAGCTTATTAACATAATAGGCCACACCCCATGTCTTCCCTTGGCTTGCCAGGGCGCCCTGCGGCTGTGCGGAGCCCGGGCAAGGTGGCCCTTGGACAGGCCGGGGAAGGTGCAGGGAGTCATTTAAATGCCTCCCTGATCCCTCCAGGGCCCCCTGGCCTGCCCACCTCGGAGTTGCTGGAGGGGGGTGTCGCTCTCCAGGCCTTCCCTCTGTAGCCACACATGCAGAGGTTTTGGCTGTAGTGGGCATGGCCAACTCTGAAGCCAGCCGGAACTCCGTTCCTGTGCGTTCCTGCCCCAAAATAGCCCTGCCCGACGTTATTATGATGGCCACTAGTACAAATGGTGCCGGGGTTGCCAGCTCCAGTTTGGGAAACAACCACACAAAAAATGGAAACACAGCGAATCCCATTGTGCAAACAAACAACCAGAATAACTCTGCCACGCTGTACAAATCACACTTGAGACTACAGTCTTCCTATGCAGTTCTCCTTACAACCATAAATGATACACATAACAAATGGCTTGGCCACCATGCATAAATGATATCTGCACCAGTTGAACAGTGACCTAATCGTCCTTGAAAGTACAAGTCTCTCTTCCTTCAAAGTACAAGTCTCTCTTCAGAATCATGCGGTCACCGGCTCACGGTGCAGAGAAGAGTTTCCAAAAGGAAACACGCAGTAGAGGGCATGAGCTCGAAAATAGCTGTGGCGCGAACCAAAGGAGCAGCAACGGCATGCCTAGGTGGCTTTGCCAGTTCTTAGGGCTTCATCAGGCTGCTTTTCTTCGTGATGGGGCTCAGCCCAGCTCTGGCAAGATTCAAAATGACACGAAGTCTACATAGGCTTCCCAAGTCCCCCCGTGGGACGGGGAAAACTCCGCCCCAGAGGCCCGTTCCCCTCCGCCACCGGATCAGGCCCCGGGGGGAACTCCTCCCCGACGTATGCGTCACCTGGAAATGATGCGACCACACCGGGCCTGCTGGGGGCGGGGCCACGGCCATCCGAGGGAAAACTCTATGGTTTTCCCTTGTATGTCCATGGCCCCGCTAGGGTTCCCAAATCGGGCCGGGGGGCGGGGAATCCCCCGCTTTGACAGCCCGATTTTCGACGGGATGAAAATCAGTCCTGGGGGAAACCCCACCCAGGCGTGCGCGTCACCTGGAAGTGACGTCGCACGCTGGGGCGGGGCCACGCCATTTGAGGGGAAAACAAAGCGGGGGGCTCCCGGCCAAAACACATTTGGCAACCCTAGGCCCCGCCCCCAGTGTGCCTGGCATCGTCACGTCACTTTTGAGTGATGTGCATGCGGCACGCGCGCACCAGACACCAGCCGGGAGCCCCCCGCTCCCGGCAAAGATCAACTTGGCAACCCTAAGTCTATAGGCGTGCCGTCGCCACTACAGCTAGTTTTGAGCTCATACCATCTACTGCATATTTTCATTTGGAAACTCTTCTCTGCACTGTGAGCCGGTGACCACATCATTCTGAAGAGAGACTTGTACTTTCAAGGACTATTAGGGCTGCCAAGTGGGGGCGAGGGCGGGGAAACCCCCGCTTTGGAGGCCCGATTTCCGCCACTGTGGAATCGGGCCCCGGGGGGAACTCTGCCCGCCGAAGCTGCGTCACCAGAGGTGACGCACGATGTACAGCACGATGTAGACCATACGGTTTCCCCCCGACGATATGGGCCACGCCCCCAACGTGCTCTACGTCGTCCGTCACTTCCTGTGACGTTCTGGCGACGCGCGTCCCGCAGCAACTCCCAGACCGAATCAATGCTCCCCCGCCGGTGAGTCAAAAAGACTTGGCAACCCCAAGGACTATTAGGTCGCTGTTCAACTGGTGCAGATGTCATTTATGCATGGTGGCCAAACCATTTGTTATGTGTTGGGGCCAGGTTCCCTACGGCCACACAGCAGTTGCAGGGAATGGCTTTGAGAAGATAAAGGAGAGCCCAGATGGTCTCACAGCCCTGCTGGGGAGGGGGAGGAAGGGCGCCTGCCTTCCCTCCCCCTAAGCTGCTTCCCCACATGGAAACCGGACTGCGGGGAGTTATTTCCCTTTTTTTTATTTCTGAACACAAAACTCTCTCTTTAAAAACGCAAACATGTCGTTTCTTCCTGAGAAGGAGTCAGGTTCATGGAGGAGAGGTCCATCAACATCTCCTAGCCAAGAGCCAAGCTAAGGGAAGAGAATCTCTGAACCTTAAAGCCAGGAGGCACCATCAGGGGAAGGCCTTGGTCGCTTTGCCCAGTGTTGTTGGCCCTCGAGAAGAACTGGTTGGCCCCTGGGTGAGACAGGATGCTGGACTAGATGGACCCTCCCAGGTCTGATCCAGCAGGGCTCTTCTGAGGTTCTTCTCAGGGGAAGGCCTCGGCCTCTCTGCCCTGTTGCTGGCCCTCGAGAAGAACTGGTTGGCCCCTGGGTGAGACAGGATGCTGGACTAGATGGACCCTCCCAGGTCTGATCCAGCAGGGCTCTTCTGAGGTTCTTCTCAGGGGAAGGCCTCGGCCTCTCTGCCCTGTTGCTGGCCCTCGAGAAGAACTGGTTGGCCCCTGGGTGAGACAGGATGCTGGACTAGATGGACCCTCCCAGGTCTGATCCAGCAGGGCTCTTCTGAGGTTCTTCTCAGGGGAAGGCCTCGGCCTCTCTGCCCTGTTGCTGGCCCTCGAGAAGAACTGGTTGGCCCCTGGGTGAGACAGGATGCTGGACTAGATGGACCCTCCCAGGTCTGATCCAGCAGGGCTCTTCTGAGGTTCTTCTCAGGGGAAGGCCTCGGCCTCTCTGCCCTGTTGCTGGCCCTCGAGAAGAACTGGTTGGCCCCTGGGTGAGACAGGATGCTGGACTAGATGGACCCTCCCAGGTCTGATCCAGCAGGGCTCTTCTGAGGTTCTTCTCAGGGGAAGGCCTCGGCCTCTCTGCCCTGTTGCTGGCCCTCGAGAAGAACTGGTTGGCCCCTGGGTGAGACAGGATGCTGGACTAGATGGACCCTCCCAGGTCTGATCCAGCAGGGCTCTTCTGAGGTTCTTCTCAGGGGAAGGCCTCGGCCTCTCTGCCCTGTTGCTGGCCCTCGAGAAGAACTGGTTGGCCCCTGGGTGAGACAGGATGCTGGACTAGATGGACCCTCCCAGGTCTGATCCAGCAGGGCTCTTCTGAGGTTCTTCTCAGGGGAAGGCCTCGGCCTCTCTGCCCTGTTGCTGGCCCTCGAGAAGAACTGGTTGGCCCCTGGGTGAGACAGGATGCTGGACTAGATGGACCCTCCCAGGTCTGATCCAGCAGGGCTCTTCTGAGGTTCTTCTCAGGGGAAGGCCTCGGCCTCTCTGCCCTGTTGCTGGCCCTCGAGAAGAACTGGTTGGCCCCTGGGTGAGACAGGATGCTGGACTAGATGGACCCTCCCAGGTCTGATCCAGCAGGGCTCTTCTGAGGTTCTTCTCAGGGGAAGGCCTCGGCCTCTCTGCCCTGTTGCTGGCCCTCGAGAAGAACTGGTTGGCCCCTGGGTGAGACAGGATGCTGGACTAGATGGACCCTCCCAGGTCTGATCCAGCAGGGCTCTTCTTACGTTCTCATAAGTTACAGCAGAGAGGAAATTTGCATCAGGTGACTTCCCCACTAACCACTACGCTGAGACAACTCAGGAAATTCAAAGTGGGAAAAGCCAACCCTCTCTAGAACAGGGCAGCTGCCCACCACTTTGGGGGACAACGGCATGAGCTGATTTTTCACTGGGCTTCCAGACACGTCTGGCCACTGATTTCCTTCCTGGCGGGGCTACACAGCCGCCTTCTAGGCTCAGCAGAGCAAGACAGCCCTAAGACCATCCATTTAATGAAGTGATCCCACGTCTCAAGCAGGCGGCATGTTGGAGCCGGTGGAAATCTTTCTCTCTCTCTCACACACACACATACACGCCGCACATGCACAAACACACACAGAGAGGGTATGAATCACTGCCCACGGCACTGGGCCCTTCCCCCCCCCCCATCCCTGGCCTTGTGGGGAGACTTCCTCTGGCTGAGGACGCTTCCTTCCTCCAATAAAGTTCAGGCCGATGGGAACACCTCCGTGGCTCTGCCTGCCTGCCTTCAGGCCCTACACGAGAGCAGGCCGCCTGGCCGAGGAAGGGCACAGACGACGCGTTGGAGGGGAGATCCGGCAAAGGGGCGAGAGAGGGCCGCTGGGTGTGTGTGTGTGTCTGTGTGTCTGTGAAGGCGCACACCTGCAGGATGTGACATGGGCGCGTCAGGCGGCCCGGAGCAGGTAGGGTGTGGGGAGCTGTTTTTCCAGCTGTATCTCTTTGTTCCTCATGTTGTATTCATGCGGAGTCGCCGGACACTCCCCGTGGGGTCTGATACGGCTCCCGGCCACGCGATGAGCTCATTTGGATCCTCCCAAACGATCCTGCAGGGCAGGGATTTGGACTGCACTGCTGGGGGGGCGGGGGGCTGCACGGCGACCAATCTGTTCCTGCTCCAGGCTTCTTCCTGCCGCTTCTGGTTTTGACTCGGGAGTCTCCTTCTCACAAGGAAGTCAGTGGAAACACCGGTGTTGTGATATCTGCCTTCCTGTTCTCGGCGCAGATCAGTCGGAGAGGAGTGAAGCGGAGGCAGGTCCGGGCCAGACGCGCAGGCTGGGGCAGGTCCGTGCAGCTCTTGACAGGAGGAGCCGGGATGTGCGGTGAGAGGCAGGACCTGGAGACAGGCACAGAGGGGGCCCCGGACAGGAGTGTCGCTGAGGAGATGTGAGCTATAAGAGGTAACGCCCGGGGAATGCGGTGGGGCGCAGGGTTGGGGGTCCAGGCAGACCCGCTGAGATGGGGCGGTGTCGTGAGTGGCTTGAAAGGGTTTCCGGTTCTGCTGGAGCAGAGATGACCTTTCCGGGCGTGAGCGGGCTTTCGGGATTCGGCCACTGAATGCTTCCCACCACCGGGATGGGTGGTGCACTTGTCTGGGCAGGTGTCGCTCGATACGGCTGGGAGGAATGGAGTCGCGCCCCCACCCGCTGCTCAGGGACAGGGATGGGTGGGCCCATGGGCGGGCCCGGGACTTTCTGCCGAAGACGTTTCAGAAGAAGACTTCCGAAGTCCGGTCAGGGAGCCGGAACAAACCATGGCTTGAACCCTGCCCCCTTTGACCCGGAAGCCTGGTCCTGTCCTATCTTCGGTGTGTGTGTGCGTGCGTGTGTGTGTGTGTGTGTGAGGCACTATCTATTACCTGGTATGGAGCTGCAGAGGCATTTCAAGGTCTGGCGTCTCCCCAAGCAAGGTCACCCCGTGTCTTATCTGGACCTGACTGCCGTGGCCAGGGCCCTGGAGGGGCCACGCCACTGACGGCTGAGAGTGAGCCAGGCCTCTCCAGTGTGCCACCCTGCACAGTCGCCTGAGTGGCTGGCCCCAGAGCTAGGGAAGTGCCAGGGGGTCGAAGGAGATGTCTCATTCAAAGGAAGGCTGGGGGGGGGG